TTTTAATTTTTTTCGAATGAAAATAATAATATCAACTAATTAAAAATAAATCAGTTTCGCTATATAAGAATATATGATAGAATGTTTTTTTTTTTTTGTAAAATTATTGTTATTATAAAACTTGAGTTATTATATTATAGAATATTGTATGGTATCAAAAAATTAAATAGGTATAAACAGGTAGATATGTCGGATAATATAAAAATAACATTCACATACTATTTTGATGATTTGAATACAATAATACAGTTCAAGGTTTCATTATGTTCAACTCACAAATTATACGTACTTAATCAATAAAAATTATTATGGTTTATATTAATGCATATATAAGTATGTATATATGTAATAAATGTATTATAATCAAATTAGTTACAAACTTTCATTCGAGTGATGCATCTATAATTTAGATTATAGATTCATATTATATCTATATAGATTTTATATATAAAACTACTGACTTAAGTCTTGACATTTTTAACAGAAGTTTCTTAAATAATGTAGATAAACATTAAGAAATAATTATTTCTAAATATATTATCTAATGTGGTTACAAATTTGACTAAAAAATAAAAATTAAATTTTTATTTTAGTATGTACAACTTACTTTATAATGGTTACTATAACGATGTTCCTATAATAATAATATTTAAACAAACGTTTAAAACACTTTCAATTATAGACAGCTATTTACTTATAATTAATACAATGTACTCGTATATATTATATTATGTTTACCAGATTTCGTTAACCGGGGTTTACTGAGGTTTCGTAAAGCTAAGTTATGTGAATGTGAATAAGATATTAAAAAATGTCAGAATGTCAAGTTGAAAGTCGTAATTAATCAAGATACGCTGTATATTATATAAATATTACATTTACTGAATTACTGAAAAGGTAGGCTAAATGCACTTATACGGTGTACCTAAAATTTTATTGAATTTATAGTTAATCATGCCACATTATTTATAGATTAAATTATTTTTCACATATGACTTTATGTACTTAGGTAGATATAGCTCTCATTATCCATCTTTGCTAAACACATTTTATTTAATTGTATTTTCAGCCTGTTAATTTAAATATTGAATTTTATCTCTAACGAACTGTACACTATAGTAACTAAAATGCAAGAGCTAACAGAGAAAATATATCAAGACAAAGCCCATATTGATGCTAAACCTATAGAATGATTTTATGAAAGAGCCATCCAGTCCCCAAAAAACAACCAAGCAGGTTGTTAATGATATCATTTGAAAGAGAAGAAATCATTTTAAGTTCAATAGACTATGTAGCATACACAGACGTTCATTACCCAAACAATTCTGAAACACTTTAAACCCACCTGGTTTTTCATACCATTTGCTATTATTGTGACTCGGTATACCCGTAATGTTGTTTAGAAATTTAAAACTACCTACATTTTATAATGGTCCTAGGTTACAAGTTGATTAATTACAAATTCTAACCTGGTGTTCTGACATTTTTTTAAAATCTTATTTGTATTTATATTACACATACTTGGCAAATTAAACCCTGGCTTACAAAAAGCTAGTACATGTAAACGACGTCGTTTGCACGTTAATATATTTTTTTTCGATATCAAATGTAACTAAATTACACTATAAATTCGTCATATAAGTTAAAATAATTTAAATGTGTATAAATATTCAATGTTTACTAATAAAAACAATGTGTGCTTTCTGTTTTTCAAAATATTATTTTGACAAACGCGTCTCGCTGGGCGCCATGCACACTTAAAATCATACACGAACGCTGCATTGAATAAACATCGATTCATCAAGTAGTTTTTTAAACTACTGAGATACGATTGTACCCGTGTTACTTTATTTACTTGCCAAAAAATAAATAAGAAAATATAGGTGTGTGGTTATTTTAACCATTTTCAAATAATAATAATAAAAAAAAAATGGTAATGTTACAAGTAAAAATGACTAATTACATTTTTGTCGTGCAATTAAATGCGTATTAAAAAATTGTGAAAACAACAACACCTAAACCTCACGGAGAGTAATATTTTTTTTTTCAGATGAAAAGGTAAAATTGGCGTGATCGTGTATAGCCGTTGTAACTAATATTTATATATTTAAAGAAACTTTCGTTATTACTCTATGGTAATTTTGTGAATATTTAATGTGCAAACGAAACGAACCGTATTGTTCATAATAATACCATTTTACCAACCACCATACGGCATAATGAATGAATGAATTATTCTAGTCATCAGAGTGCGTGTAACAAACAAAAAATGTTCGTGGTACATAAACAGTAGTTGACGGTCACTTCGGTTTGATTGCGATGAAATAGTATTTAATTTTTGGAATTCGTAACTTCCGTATTAACATACCAACTTTGTACACGCAAAAAAATATCCGTATTATATTGCACACCTACTACCTTACATTACAACCACATGAGTGCGGTCAAAAAGCTGTTATTTCTCGTACACCGAGGATGGAATCAAATTTAAATATGCAAAAAAAAAAGACACAACGGATAAACATAATAGGTATACGCCCCGCAGGAAATTTATCTACCCGTAGGGTATTTACTCGAGGCAAATTATCGTAGTAAATTATGATACTTTCTAATATTTTGGCTGAGGAGAGTTTTCATAACAACAACGCGAGTGCGCTTTAATATTTACGCAAAATTGCACTAACTTATGATGTCGGCTTGTTCTGGTGGATTTTGCCGTAGAACAAATAGAATCGAATATTTGATTGCGTAGAAAACAGCGAAATGACATTAACATCCAGTATTTATCTATTGATATTGCTATATAGTGTCGTATCATCATATCACTATTCATTATCGCCTCTGAAATCCGAATATTTTCCATTTTTGGACGGCACGGCAATTAACATATATAAGTTTATTTAGTGGCATAAATAACTTTTTTTTCAAAGAGGGCTAAACTTAGAAATATCAAACGAACAGCTATAGAACCAAGATGGAAAAGTCTCGTACTAGCTTTATAAATTGATTGTATACATTAAACACTAAACTGGTAGGTATTACTGATAAATTACGAACTACTCAACGGGTGTCATTTATACACATCGGTAAATAGGGTAGTTGCTTTCCCTTCACCCAAGGATTTGGGCCACACTATGTACATGAACTATTTATGCGACCAATGCGTAACACGAAAATATGCGATTGATAATTGCATGTCAGTTTTTATTGACTTTTTTTTTTACCTTTTGAGATTTATACTTCGGATATTTGCATTCATTATATTCGTTATAAATATGTGATAAGTATCAATTTCTGATTTTCAATTCAAATGTAAAGCTTTATATTTCATACACAAAACGATTTATAATAATAATTTATTTTTGCGATATGGTTATGTTTTTTCAGCAAAGCACTAACGTTTTGGACGTATTAAACAATATTGTTGGGAACGTGCTGCGGATTCATTTGCTCATTTTCGATCGGTGTTTAAATTGCTCCACCCTGATTATCTTTTGATTAGGCGGGCTCAAAGACTACTTTTTCTTTTGTGGCAGGCAACTTATCTTGATTGCAGAAAATATTTCTGGATTCATCTTTTTACATTCCATACATTTCGTTATTATGTACTTTTCTACTCTTACAAATAACGCTCGTTTTTTTTTCTTTTTGTTATCGCTACTGTCTGGTACACGGTTATTTTTTCTTCTGGAGGGTTTCTTTTCGGATTTTGTTTTTTTATTTTTATTCTGTTGATAATTGGCGTCTGCGCATCCACGTCATTATTCCAAGTTTTCCGTTGCTTTTCAAATAGTTCGTTTTCCATATCCCGTTTCTACACTTAACATTTTCGTATCATTAAAATTTGCGTTGTAGTCGAAAACGACCAATTGCTCGCCAAGTCTTGAGCCATAAGACAGACGACGTTATTATCGAGGGATTGGCAGAGATGAATCGATATCCGTTCGTATCAAACATGCAACACGGTGATTTAGATAGGTATTGAATAATGTATCAAATGTAGCCATCGATGTACGGGATTTAAAAACTAACAAATACGATTGAATTATGTAGGTGGCGTTGGATAAAAACGGATTTCTTACTCGAAATTGATAAATGCACAGCTGGAGAGTACTTACAGAAACATCATCAACCCCTCGGCCCGCGACCTATTGTATATCGCCGTAAAATAAACGACGTAGTTCTCGGAATAAGTTAGAAAGGGAATACATTAGATTTCGTAGACATTTCAAAGACCGCGACTCAATCACATGAAAAGCACTCGCGAGACCTGCACGCGTATCTCCCGCTACTGCGGTACACCGGAGGAACCGGAGTACGTAATATATTCTCGTGTACAGTCGGAACTCCGCTAAAAATATCGGACGCTCCCGTGATATTGCAACATAAAACAATAACAATTATTATCGTTGACACAAGTTGAATATGCAAAACACATAATATACATATATTATAAACGCATATACATATATATATACTTGTAATACGCATTTTGTACGCCAACGAGCAGCAGCGGGCCCAACCTCACGTCAATACCGAAATGTGCGGCGGTGCGCACACGGCTATCATTAAAGTTAATTGAACGTACGTGACTTGTCCACATGCCGATGACGACGACGACACCGCGTGGGAGGTTTAAATCTAATGGAAACGCGCGTGATTTGCGTCTCACCGAGCCGTTTAAATGCAGATTTCTCAATCTAATAATAATATGTTTCACGCGCGCACGGTAAAAGTGCGTGTGCACGGTGTTTACCGATATTACCGTCGTTCTTCAGTCGTTTCATATCGGAAGCGGCGAAATCTATATGGGTTGAAAAAAGAGAAAAAAAAAAGCAAGTCTCGTAGTTGGATTGGTTTCCCGTCGCATCGTCACGTTATTTTCAACATTTCGATTCGCGAGTTTTAAACATGTTTACTTAGTGCAAGTCGTATTAAGTTCTTCTTCGGTGTTATAAAAAAAAAATTTACCGTCATTGCGCGTGCGTGGCGAAACTTACCGGCGACAATGCGTCCACGGAGTTGACGGTGGTGTCGGTTCCGGTCTGCTGCAGGAATGTTTCGTACTTGTCGAGCGCGGTGAGTCGGTGCAACAGGGTCTGCAGCATGGCCGACACTTGGTGCCGGACGGCCGGCTCGACGGACACGCACTGGTGTGTGATCTCCCGGACGTGCGCCATTACCCGTTCGTCGCGGAAATCGTATGGAAACTTGTCGGTCCACTCGGCCAACAATTGGACCAGTCGGGGCACGAACCGCGACAGCTGATCCTGAAAACATCAACACGATGAGCATACCGTTCATGTCGTGCATAATTCACGAAAACCCATTATCCGTTCCAACGAGACATCCGAATCAAACTGTCTATCGGGGGCGCAATCAGTATATGGTAACGGGCGGGAGTTTTCAACCTTACTCGTCCAGCCCGTTTGGAGGAGCCTGAACCATTAAAAGAAACCTATATATAAGTATACTGAAATAGAAAATCGAAATAGATTTTGGGCGTTTCGGAAAGAAGAAAAACACGTGGATCCCCAGATATTTGATGAACAAAAAGATACTGAGTGGCTGTCTAGAATACGAAAGTGATTGAATAACAAATATTATGAATATAGAGTCGAGAGCGTGAAACGGTAGTACATTTACGGTGTGAAATTGGCATCGCTTTTCGAAAACAATTCGTTTTTGCGAATAAGTGAGCATATGCAAATTCGAAAATTTGGCAAGCGAGTATGAGCGATCTATTTCGAAAATTACAGAAAAGGCTCGAAGGATATAAGGGAAAAGGCGGTGCCAACTTCACGTGTGTGACTACTATATCGAATAATCATTTGACTGTTAGTTTGCTGACGTTTAAACTTCATAGCAGATCCGGTAAGCCGATCAAACCTTGAGGTCAGCCTTGCATTATATATTTTTATATGATAATATCGATAATATTTTAATATGCTTAGTGTAGAATATATCCGAAATATTTTTTTGAGATTAGTTGGAGTAAAGTGGTGCAAATCACAGCCTTACACACCCACATAGACAATATGATTATTATAAAATGGGGCATTTGAGTTTTACTCACTTATACATATACACACATAAATTCAAAATATATTATATCACATGGATCGACGTTGTTCTTTTTCCAAATTTTCACTGGCACTGTGAAAAACTTCCGAAAGATTTCACTTGTCAGGGAAGGTATTATTTACGTTAATAAAACTACACAGTGGTTAAATTATTTGTGAGTTTAATATAACGAGGAACGATAATCTGTGCGAACGTAGGAATTATTAACACTTTCTTCTACGTCTAGACGCATGCATACTTAAAGTATTAAGATAATTAGTAAATATATGTTTTGAACACTCCCTTTCATTATTTTTTATTTTTAAACATGAATATAATATTATGAGGACTAGCAGGCCAAGCGAGAAGGTTAAAACGCTTAAATAAACGGATTTTATATCACATCAATATAATACATGCCAACAATATGAATTGTACGTAGGTATAGTTACCTCAATGCCACGATACAGGATGCGTTTATTAGACGTGCCACGGTATAAAATAGCAGCGAAGGGTTAGAAACCAGTCGATCGATCGTCGTAATTAAACGTGATTAAGGATGTCGCAGCGCGTAGCCATATTATCGTCGCGCCGTGTTCGTTCGGAATTCAAACAAACCGAATTTAAAAACAATTATGTTGAAATCGCCGCAATGGATTATCATGGTTACGGATATACACACGAACCTAACCAGGAGCGCTCATAAAAATACGCAACCAGGAACAAAAAAGATAAACCGTTATCATACGTATGTATAGAAGTTTATACCTTGTGGTGGGGGTTTTGTGCGGCCGACACGTGATCGCCGAGCCTTTGCTGAGCATGACACACGGCTACGACTTTGGCCAGTAATTCGTGTGGTTTCACAAACAGCCGTGAGCTGAGAATAAATGCGAACAGGTACGCTTGATCCGGATAATAATCCGTGGTAGGAACTATGTGCTGGATCAAACTGGACAACGGGCCAGACAATAGAATGCCGTCTCTGTAAATCAAAGTCTGGAAAAAAAAAATAAATAAAGCAATTGAGAAAATTAGTAAAATCGTATAAAATACCATACCGATAAAGTGTATGGTATCATTATAACCCATTTGTTACGAATCAAAATAAACATATGCATACAAATAGATAGAAAAATAGATATTTTTATTATTTTTACGAAGGTCATAGTAGTTGGGTAATGCAAATCAATAATACAATAGTAACATAAACGTATTATATTGCAATCGTATCGATCACATTATTGTGTTCATATTATATTATGTTATTTAACTAAATTATACACCGGCATCGAATTATCTTATTTGTCTGTTTATGGTAATGCTAAAAATATACACACGTATACATTTATACTGTTTCAATATATATATATAATTCTTCATTGTTCTCGAGTTAATCGTAAACCCGTATAACTTTTTGTCAAGGAATTTTTTAGCAGTTACATTCTCGTTTTGTTCGAAATGTTTTATTTGTTTATTATGCGTTTTGACTTTTTTCTAAAACTTTTCTAAAATTTCACTATTTTTATTTTTGTTTTACAAAAGTATCTATGCCAAATAAATAACGATATTTTATACGTGTCATTAATAACGTGGTACCAGAACATTATTTACGATATTCCCAGACTACATGTACAATTTAAGATTTAATGGCTTAAAAATTCGAAACCAAGAAACTATTAAAAAGGAAACAATTTTAAATAAATGTCACATTCTAAAGATACTGAAACGGTGCTAAGAAAATTTACTATATTATAGTCTTGCCTTCGAATGATTTTTATGTTTAAAGTTCAAGATGGAAAAATTTAAAATTTTCAACATGTTAAGTGTAATGTTCTCACAAGGATTTTGCGTTACATTAAATATAATAAATTATACGCACCTATATAAAAATAATACAATCATGAGACGAATGTCGGTAGGTACAATATATAATTCCGATGTACGTATTATAATAATAGTAATAATAATAAAATGTTTATTTGAATATTATATTAAAAACGGATAGCTTGGAAATTAAATTACTTGCTTTTAATGAATAAAAATTAAATAAAAATGGTTTTCTTTATGAAACTATAAATAAGAGTTTATTTTAATAGTAAAGACGTTTACAATTTAGACAAAATATGTATTATGTTACATTATAATGTTTCCTATTTTCATATTATTTTGTCTTCCCTAGAGTTCAAAAGAAATAATTTATTAAAAAAAATTATTCGTTATATCGCCATACGGGCTTGTTTAGTTAAAAATATGTTGATAAGTTCTCATAACGTTCAACAGAAATGAGATTTTATAATTAGTTTATTCACCAATTGATACGTCAAAATGCAGCACTTGTTTGAGCGCGATTAGTCAATAATAATCTGTGTGGTATGAAAGAAATCAAGAAGAAACTAATTTGCAAAATTTTATTTCCACGGTTAAATTATTTCGCAACCCATTGATTTGCACGTCGTAAAACCTCTTCAAATATATTTCCATATTTTTTATTCTTCTCTCTCTCTCTCTCTCTCACTCTCTCTTTAAATATATAAGAGTATATACGTATATATGCTGTGTACGTGACCATCGATTGAAAAAATTGTAAACGAAAAAGAACTCGAATAAAATAAATACAATTTTGAATAGTTATTATTCAAATATATAACGGGTCCAAATGATTTCATGAAGCCACGTCACAATAATTATAATTGTACCATAACCGAACGAGATGGAGGCGTTTCGAAATCCTTGACGACTTCGTATCGTCATTAAGCCGTATATACGTAATAGTATAAGTTGTACTTAATACTTAACGTTTTACACAAATGTTAGTCTTCCACGAGAATAGAGAGGCGGAGTATAACAAAATCCGAAAAGTCAAAAATCGGTGGCGGCGATTAAGAGCTAAACGAATAAAATAATAAATGTATGGCATGATGAGCAGACCCAAAGCTATGTTTCAACATTAAGACAACCCTCACTGCGCTCTAATACGTATATCTTTTCGCGTACACAGTTGAATGACGTCTCGCGGGTATAAATAATGGCCGATGTGATCTCGAGATTTGGCATTATCACCCGTTAACAATGACGGCGCTTAAAGGTTATGTAAGATATCCTGTCCGGATATACGCAAAGACTACCGCTACCATTACCATCGCTGCGATGACGGTTTTTATGGACGAAGTTATATACATACATAAATGTAGTATTTCTCTGACGGCAGTAGCATTTGTCTTTCTTATGTGAGCTTTACTCTTTCGCCGGAGTAATAAATACGCGGGTGAAACCGCCCTATAACACACACACATAGACGAATAGAAATAGACAGATGGAACAACCGAGAACTAGAGAGATACTTCGGTGTTGGTCGACTGTTGCAGAGTTGATGGTATCAAAACGTGTTAAGCCTTTACCGACGACGAGTACCGAGAGTCCGTGTCTGGTACAATCGCTATTTTGTGCTCACGCATCCTTATGCGAGTGTGCTCTAGTAAATTACAATTTGCCCTAGTTAACGTCATCGTCGTTATTGAGGTTCCACGGTGCATATTAGAATAATACTATTAATCGAACGACAGAGAGAGATAGAGAGATTGATGGATAGTTTAAGAGTGAGCAAGAGAGAGGGAGGGAAGGAAGGAGAGGAATTATAATTATGGCAGCCATAACGTATACAACAATGTGAACCCAATTTATATATGTATAACGCAAATTATACTGGACTCTTGATCACTTGAAGTTATGATAGCAAAATCTTATTTGAATTAAAACAAAAATCAATTTTTTTTTACCAATATTGTATATCTAAACTTACAAAATGCACAATAATTATTAAAAACATTAAAATGTATAAGGTAATATTCGTAAAATATAAATAAGTGTGGTCTTTACTTTATTTATTTTTGCTTCCGAGTACATTTTCTAGATTATAATGTATAAACGATAAACTATTCATCGCCCACGCAATTATTTAATTGCAGTCTCGACGGATTACTTAACTATTGTTATACTTGTACATTTATACATAACACTCCGTTATTTTGTAATACTGAAGGTGTTTTTCTATCTCAACGTCAACATTATGTTCGGTTTTAGTAAAATTACGACTTTCAATTACTAGCTATTAATGACGCATTATGGTTATTATTCAAAACGATACGTTTTTTTTCGTTTAACTCTTTGTTAAAATATGTCTTATTTTTAAGTGACCTACAGAATTGCCTAAAAAATATGTAATTGTACAACGAAACTCATTTACTTCGTTGAAAAATTTACCAAACCCAAGAAAAATAAAATAGGCGCAGAGATTATCGATTATTAACTTTTTCCCTACATATTAGGTCGAATTAAGAAACGTCCTTCCGATAAAGGGCAAACCTTTTTGTATTATTACGTATGCATATTATAATGAATGGCATTAGGCAGGTACTTTATAAACGTAAAGCGTATTCGACAAGTTTATGTGTAAATAGTCCGAACGAGAATAAACCCTCGTGCTTAATTACTTTTAATCTTTCTCGTAGTACTCCTCCCCTGTATACTGTTTATTATTTTCAAGTCAAACACGATAATCGTAATTCATTTTAAGCTAAATGAATGTTGTATATTATAAAACAATATGATAACGTAAATGAATCACGTTTACTATAATAAAACACTCAAGACAAAGATAATGTTTGAAAGCCAACGTATCTACGGACATATCTATCTATACATCTAGGCAAGCAATAATAAGACAGAGTCGGCAAAGAAATAACGTTAATTAAAGTTAATTATTTTTCTTTATAAATTAAATGATTCATTAAGTGAAATTAATATAGTTAGTATTCATATGTAGTATCTTGCATGATACAAATACAAGTATTTAATATATTTAAATTAAATTGTAAATTTTGGATCGTATCGCACACCACATTACAGTAAAATTAAAACAGAACATATTCATTTAATAAAGCATATTTCAAAGATGTTTTATACCACAATTATTTTTTTTAAGTAAATGAAAGCTAAAAATAAAATATAATTTAGTTTAGATTAATCGACGAAGAATTTTATTGTGAAAAATTAGCATGAGAAAACTCGGTATTTCATATTAAGTTAAAAAATGCGTTATTTAAATATTACACTATCAGTTGATTGTTCACTTTAATCTACGCTGTGACGTTCCAACTATTAAAGGATAATTTAAAATCGACACATTTCGCAGAAAATTGCTCACTTATTATCAAGCAATAATATCTTGATATTAATTTTAGATTTAGAGCGAAGCAAGTAGGGCGCTATTGTAGATTTCACAGTGACGTGCACTGTATTTTTCTTTCTAGAGGCACTTTAAAACAGAGAAATCACTTTATATTTATCATGTACCTGCAATACAGATTGTATTTTAGAAAGGTTATTTATTTTTAAATTTTATTTTTCGAGCCATTAAAAGGGAAAAAAAAGAATGTGATAAAATAATAGAGAAATATAATCACATCAGCTTGACAAATATATTCCATGGTTAATAAAAATTCCTTCAGAATCAGTTCTTGAGAACTATTCATTTAAAATTGAATGTTAAATCATTATAATTTTGTAACTCATAAAATCAGAAAATGATATCATTCAACGATAAAAGAAATATTTTACAATGCTAATCATATTTATTATTACGCATGTATACATTAAAAAATATACGACATATTTCATAATTTTTCAGACAAAACACAGGAAACAAGCAAGGGAATTCAAAACAACATTGTACAAGTTCAATTGGTTAAGATAAAATTTATTTATTTTTGAATATAAGCATTTCATAAAAAACAAACTTTGATCAAAACATTAAGTTTCGTAAATAATTTGTCGTTGAACTACTTTAGGTTAATTTTTATTTTTTTTTTTTGTTGGTTAGTAGTAGAGGGAAATAAGCCAAGTTTTAAAAAAGTTTATGACCTTAGCCTGGACATCCATAAATATGAAAGCACTAGGGAAGCATTAAAGTTTATATTATAGTCTACACAATGGTATTA